GAGAACTTGCACAATTGGTGGCTGACTAAATACTTTTTTGCCCCACTGTACACCCAAGGGGGTAGTTTGGGCATATCCAGGTGTAATGTAATGGAGCAATTTGTAATAGCTTGTTTGTGAGTCAAAGATACAGTTGCTACTACTGAGATGCTTGTGTAAAACACCAGAATTGGGGTTTTTTTGTGAGGGTAATGACATGATTTGAGACTGGAAAAAGAGGTAATTGGATTAAACAGTTTTAGAACCACTGGTGTCAAGCAGTGAAGGTGGCAGGTAACACGGAGGTTTGAGGGACGCACACTGTGTTCCACTTCAAATGCCTTCTCTGATCGTTCTGCTGCCATAAGGTATAGTTTCCTGACAAAATTATAATATAATATAGTTTGATGCAGCCATCCATTTCAACTTTCAGTTTGCATTTTAATAAAAGTATAAATTCAAGCCCAACATCTGGTTTCATATATTATGCTTTAACAATTACATTATTCAAATGTTTAATAAATCTGTTTAACTACTTAATTAAGGAATTTCAAAAAACGTTGTCCCCTGCTTGGGTATTATAGCTTAATATTACATCATGGGAACTAAAAGTTAAGACTTAAATATAACTAATATACTCTATTTGAGGTCAGTACAGCACTTCTTATCCATTCCTTCCAACACTGAATAACTTACATGCATTCATATATACGTTTATATAAAAATAAGCCCGGTGAATGAAAATGGGATTACTTCCATGTAAATGTGTAGTTGACTGTAGCCATAGCTACTGTAATCCTACATAAGAAACTTCTGAAAAAGTGTTTGTAGAATTGGGGTAGAATGTTTCAATTGATTTCATTAAGTTTTTCCAACTCTGTTTATTGGTTTACAAAATAAGTATGCTGCTTCAGTCACAGATTCTAAGTGGCTTCCACTATCATATCACTTACAGTATCAAGTTCAAAACAATTTACCAGTTTCACACAAACTCTCTCATAAAGCTTCACCAGGTAATACAAGAACTCAGACATGTCCATAGCACTTATTCCCTAAAGACTCTACAGAGTAGTGTTTTAACTGCCCTCTCAGTATTAACAGGGAGGGAGCCATACTAACAGCCTTCTAGAGGTCGGGGCAGGGCAAGGCTCTAAGCAACAGGAAACTGTAGAGGCTCTATTTAGGAAGTGCTAATACAGGAATAGGCTATGTAACAACTGAACTTGTCAGTAATGCCGCTAAGGTGCATAACAAATTCATGATGGGGGAGGGAAGAGCCCTCTTTGAACAGGTATGAATGCATGAAGAAACAAAGCATATCTTAATCAATTAATGACAGTCATGTAAGCCATACAGGAGGGCTTAATTTATGGAGACTTTCATATATGAAATTATAATAAAACTGTAATGAATGAAAAAAAAAATCTGAAATTTTGAGAGGCTCCTTCAGACAATGAGGCCCTAAACTGTAGCCTGTTTAGCTTATGCCCCACAGGCATCACAGAGAGTATTCATTTCCAAGCCTGAAAGGTACAGATCAGCAGTATACCCTTTCTGCTGGTATAACTGGGACAAGCAGATTCTAGGAATAGATGCTGTCAAATGCTGTCACCTAGCCATATTGAACTTGACAAGAAATAACCAGCCCCTTGAGCTGCACCCAGAAACAAAATGGTAGACAATGCAGCTCTTCTAGTAAAGAAGTACCATGCCCATAACAGCTGTCAACCATTAGCTGTCAACCATTAGCATGAGGGCAGCTGCACTTTGCACTAACTATAATTTCCAAATTGTCTTCACCCTAACCCCATGCAGAGTGAATTGCAATAATCCAATCACAAGATGACAAGAGCATGAATGACTGTGGCTACTATCCCAAGTCCATCCCATTCCAGAAAGTCAATGTAAAACAATCACAGCTGTGTTGGTTCATGGGGAAAAAAAATAACCAAATCTGTAGTTGGGGTAAATATCTTTATTACAACCAAAATGCCATAAAAGAGTATGAATTCTCCAGAACTCTTTTTCAGATAAGATGTTACAAAAAACAGGAAAGAGAGAAGCAAAAAAATCCAAAAATTAATTTGGATGTTTTAGCTATGATGTCTATACTTCAAACATATGAAGTTATAGACTAAACTGCAACTGCATTACTAGTGATAATGGTATCATGTTGCATCTAGTATTCAGGGATGAAGGAAATGGTTTTTCTCTGCCTTCCCCAAACCCAGCTCTGAAAGAATAAAATTCCCAGTCAACTCCTGGCAAGGGCTATGAACATATATGCCTTGGCCAGGGAAAGAACAACAATAAAGAAATATAGTCGTTACAACCGCCAACTTAAGAGAGTGATTTTTGCTTGATCTGTTCATTGATTTAACAGATTTATACATCATTCCAAAACCCATTTCTCCTATGCATCCTTTTAAAAACTGATATGATTTAGTTCTAAAGGCCTAATAACTTTGATGCAGCTAAAGAAGGTATGCTGCAAAATCATGTCAGTTCAGTCCTTATCTATGTTTATTAAGAATTAATTCATAATATACTCAAAGGGATTTATTCCAAGTATTCCAAATTTGTATGTATGCAAATGTCATAATTATACCAATACAGAAATCTGGATACCTGGCAATTGCAAAAATTAAGTCTTAAAACACTTTCATTAGCAAAAATATTATCAGTATATTGAGATATTTTACTAAGTGAGTCTCTACAGCTATGTATTGGTGTAGTGTTCCAAAATATATCAGGAAAGGGCAACTTCTTTGCAGGTTGGAGTTGTACTTAAAAAAAAACAAAAAACTGCCCTCCAAGGGTTGCAGATAGATGTCATTTCTGGAGAGAGCAGAGCCAAAATATTAAGCTCAGAGAAGTTTTAGGAGGGAGATGCTGAAAATAGATGTGCTACTGTAGCCCTGACTGAGGTGTAACATGCCTATTTTCAGGCTTATTTGTTTTATGTTTTAAGAAAAAGAAGTTTAAAAAATGCCATTGAAAATTGGTGATGTGGGGAGGCTCCAGGACCAGGAAAAGTTGGTATAAAACATGATCAATATTGTTCCAAGGCAATTTGCAGACATTTGCAGCAGCAGCAGCAGCAGCAGCAGCTAAACAAGCAAACAAACAAAAATCTCAAACAAATCTTGGCAAAGATTGCATTCATCAAATATAGAATACTCCCACAAGCAAATTTTTTTAGTTAAATCATTTTTGTACTAGTTAAAAGGAATAGCAACTCACATGCTTATAAGAATCCACTGGTGACAAATACAAGAACTGGCACTTCTGTCGGTTATAAATGTAAAAATCACACATCATCTTTAGAAGGTAATTTAATATTTGGTACTCCAACTGTAGCCTTACCACAGTGTATTCAGAACAAATTGTTTTCTTAGGTCTTTTCATGTTATTTCTATTAAAACTTAAATATTAACGGAATGATCCCAAGTTCCAGAAAGACTGACAGTAAAGGAAGGTGACAAATATAGTGAAATTTGCAGAAAGCATGAATATTCTAACTACAGATGTTATATAATCGATATATATTTGCTTTTTGCAAAGTGGTACTAATGTCTAGTTTACTAGACCCACTATAATTTTGACTAATTCAAGTTTCACTGACTTCAATGAGCAAGTATAAACATGGCCAATTATGAATGCAACCTTATAGCTAGAATGCTTGTTTAAAAAAATAACTACCCAAACAATATAATGTATTTTGTCACTGTCCTAAGAACTGGTTCATCAAATAAGATCCAAAATAACTTTCAGGCAGAAGAGTTTGCTTGTGAAGTTCTCTTTTTTATTACTAGTAGCAACCTGTATTGTTTTCAAACACATCTGGAATTTCCCTGAGTTTTGGAGAAAGTATTTCTGGTAGATAATTATAGAAGGAGCAATGTGTCATGAGTCTGCTTGATAAAACTACTTTTGCTCTCATTTTTCTTCAAAAAACACTGACCATGCAGAATTATCAGCTTTCAGATTTTAAAGGCAATATGTAATACTGAAGTGCTATTTAATTATTGTGTCAAATGTTTTAATTCCTGAACTTAGCTAAAAGACTTAGCTTGTTATTGTAGTTTGACTGACATTACTATGAAAATATTTTAAAATAAACAGATTTTAGAATATTAAAAATATTCGTACATGAAAGTAACTGACAGTATAAAAATTAACATGGTTGAAATTAAGAGTTTATACATGTAAAATAAAGATGCCAAGCTAGAAAATCAAGATTATCCCTTTAACATAAAGGGGTTGGGGAGAAGAAGACAGACAAAATATATAAACAAACTGCACTGTTAACTAAACTAACCTTACTTTAGATTTCTTCATGGTAGAAGTTGACTGTGCAAATAATAATCTGTGTTGTAGACATCAGCATTTACAATGTAACTCTTCCTGTAATGCTAGACATGTCTTCATGACAACCTTTCATACCTACTAAAATGTATGGGGATTCAAAAAGCAAAATCTAGTAGTAATGTGACAAGCAACCATAAGACACTTGAGATTTTAATACAAAAGAATCCTTCGTTCAATAGCCTTTCGACAGATAGGACATTCACTCATTCGATCACCACAAAGCTGACATGTTCCATGACCACAGAGAAAGATCATATTCTTCAGACGGTCCAAACATACAGGGCACATGGTCTGCAAAAGATAAACAAGGAACTAAATATTTCTTGGATAAAACAATCAACTACAGTACTTAATCTTGTACATATACTTCCAAAAAACTCCAACTGCAGAAACAAATGGCAAATATGAAAGATAGTTCACATCTTTCTATCTAAAAGTAATTTAGCTTAGATTTAATACACTATTTTAATGCAATATTATACAGAATTTAGAGAAATATCGAACAGGAAATCACCTAATGAAGGGCTCATATTATACCATGGAGCTTACAACTGCTGTAGGTGGCTGTGCCATAAAGCAGAAATGGGCAGAGAGAATGAGGGATAAAGAGATATGCATATTATCATGATGGAAACTTTCCCAAATAGCAGCACCATCCTAGGACTTCTTCAGTTCCCTAGTTCAAAAGGAATAGAGTTGAATTTAACACTGCTATCTATTACAGCTTCAAAGGAAAGCCTCAGAAACACTGTCTACTTTCTATTTTGTTTCTGACCGGTTTATTTCAGGAAAGAAAGTCAATTTCTTTATGGGTGACAGTAAAGTACAATGAAAGTTGGGAGATATCCCAATCAGAAAAAGTTGATCATTGTTTATTAATTTTGGACCCCAGCTCTAAGGAAAGCATATTCTCCAGAAATGTTTTTTTTAAATCTCAGGCAAAAATATGTTTATTGACTTTACACTTCACAATTTCAGTATCTGCAAAGAAGTTTGTGCATACAAAATACCATTTAAAATTTAATGAAAGTAATGCCTCAGAGTCATTTAGTTTTAATCTTGCATGCCAACTGTACTTAGGCATGTAAGTCCTGCCTTTACATTTATGCCACACTATGCTTTTCTGAAATTTAGTTTACATTCCTGTATATTTTATACAAAAATGGATGGGAAATTATGTCTTAAATCTCTGTCTACACTTTATTCAAATAGTATGTATGTATGTATGTATGTATGTATGTATTTAGCCTTTGAGTTAAGTGTTGACTCCTGGCAACTGCTTGGACAAGCCCCTGCTGTTTTACTGAATCTAATAAATTTGTAGCATATTTTGCACTCAATATGTATTATCTGTATTTTTCAATATGTAGCACTTATCCTGAAAATATTCACATAATAGTTTTCTAACAAAGTGTATTACTCTCATATTTTATTTATTTTACCTGTTCCTTTATGTCCTGCAACTGCTGCTGCAATTTCTGTACATCAGCATTGACATTAGTGTTATCCTTATCCTTCTGCAGAACAGGAATGTTTCCACTTGCTAAAGAATGCACAGAGGAGAAAATAATGACAGGCAATCACCATCATCATCATCATCCAATGTTATTTAAAATGTTCATCTAGCCTGCTAAATATATTTCCATTTGTGAATTTCAACAGCTTTTCCTAAAGTTGATATGTAAAAAAGCACAAATGCATGTATCCATCCTACATACTAATCTTCTAAACACTGCCTTCAGAATTTAGCTTCAATGTGTGAATGTAACATATTACTACAAAAAACCAACAATGTTCATAATTGAGTAGTTAAAGCAATAAGTATAAACCTTGATTTTATGTATTTGTTAGATTTATATCCACCTTTCCCTCAGGAGCTCAAGGCAGTGTATATAGTGCTTCCTCCTCCCCTTTACCCCTACAGCAACATCCTGTGGGGTAGGTTGAGCTGAGTGAGAATGCTGGTCCAAAGTCACCGGGTGAACTTATATAACTAACGATGGATTTGAACATGGGTCTCCCTAGTGCTAGTCCGGCATCTTAATTACTACACTACTCTGGCACTGTCTTCCAATCTTTAGAAGATATTGCTACTTTGGAAATAATACATAAACAAGCAGTTTATATATTTTCCTTATAAGAAAAGGCTAAAGGATGTGAAGCTCTATGTCCAAAGTGCTGGGGACAAAAATGGAAACTCTGATGCCTTCATGCATTGCTTTTCAGTTTCTCAGAGCTATCTGGATCAAGATTCAATGGGCTTTTGATCTGATCCATAGGTTTCTTACTGAAGCATGATGTATCAGGAATCAAATTCCAAAGATTTCTGGCTAAAACACTAATATGGTTGTGAATATCATGTATCCATTCAAAGTTATTAACATAATCAATGCTGTTTACATTAATTAATTAGTCAATACACTCTGTAATTTACAGAACTGTAATATTTTTAATAAGAAATATAGTAGCAATTGCCACTGTATTGTGCCACTTTTTACATTCTTAGAACAATTAGACATTTTCTTCCAGGGGAATCCTTCTCCCACTAATGTATGTTACTGTACTCTCACAAAAAATTAGGCCCTGGACTGCAGAGAAAATGTTTCTACATCTTTATCCATTAAGACAGAGAGAGATCCCTAAGAAATAGTGACACGAGGCTTTTTGAATTACCCTACTAGAGAATAGATAGAAGAAAAAGATATGATTAGACAAGGGGAAACAAGAATTTACTACAATAAATTTGAAAAATAAATAACTCACTAATGTCATCTATGGTATCTTCTGTACCTTTCCCACCACAACACATAATAAAAGGAACTCTTCGTTCTACCACTGCCCGACACTGCACACATTTTTTCATAAGGCTGGCGCAATCTGCAAAAAAAAAATATATATATTTTAAGACTAGTATGTCTTAACCAAACTTAAATTCAACTTTAATATATAGGGAAAAAAAAGTGAGATACAATTTTAGGCAGGTAACTGAAGATAAAGTTACTTCTTTGCTAAATATGGCAAACTCAAAAATGAGCTTTTATATGATAATTACCTAATGAAGTCAAGTCTATTTGAATAACTTATTATATTACTCTTAAGAAACAACTGTTGGTATATTACTTACTTTCACAAGCACACATGTGTCCGCAAGGCTGAAAGAGTACTGCAGCCTTTTTATCTGAGCATACAACACATTCTTCAATCTGTAAAAACAAAATTAGAGTAGCTTTATAGCATTTAGTTCTTCAATTAAATGCTTGTTAGCCTAATATCTATTCTGGGTGGAGTGCTAGGAAGACTTATTAAACATAACTTCTGGCACACGGAAAGACAAATCTTCCTGATGAATCAATATTGTTTCTGTGAAGGTAACTTCTGAAGTTTCAAAAATGGTAAAGAGATAATGGTCTGCTAGACACTGTATGTTTTCATGCTTTAAAAATGTGCCTCATCTAAGACTCCTGAGTAAACTAAGCAATGACTGAATTAAGTGATGGATTGGTAACTAGTTCAAGAAAATGAATCAACTGACAATGTTCAAAGCTAAGTAAGTTCCCCAAATCCTATATAAGGGCCAACGCTTTTTAACTTGGTCATAACTTATTTGGAATTAGGAATTAACAGTGAGGCAGGTAAATTTGCAAATTACTGAGGAACGAAAAAGAGCTCCAGCATTTTAAATCCAATCTAGGTGAACTGACAACACACTGACAAATGTGGTTCAACATATAATATGTATACACATACACATCCCTGTATATCCTACTGTATATGTATAACTTTCATCTATATCTATTTACAGTGCCATGGATTGGGGCAAAAATACACTGAACTATAAACTGAAAAGCTGGCTCAGAAAGTGTCTTGTGACTGTGGTAAGACAATCAACCAAAAGTGGATTTTCTTTTTAGCAACTCTTAAAATGGTGAGCCTTTGACCACAAATTATAACAGCAGTTGTGGCAGTGCCACTTGCCATTGTTAGGTGAATCCCACGTGGGCATGGGGTCACACTATTTGTCCTTCTCTTTAGATCTTCCTTTACCTTTCTTGTAGGGGGGGAATAGTGTGACCCTGGGC